GGATGTGCAGGACAAGAGTTAAGTCACATACAGAAGACCAAAAGAGAGGAAAAGGTGAAACGGATAGGAAAGGGAGAAGAAAAGATCAGAAGTTCAGTAGAGCTAGACAAAAAAACAAAAAGATAATTAAGAAAGAAAGAAAAAGAGAGAGAAGACAAGAAAAGAAAGGAAAACGTACATTCACGTATTCCTAAAATAAAAATTATAAGAGGGAAAAAAAGTTACTGGAAAACAATTATTTTTCAAAAAAGGCAAAGATTAAAGATTAATAAAAGTTTTAGAAAAGGAAAAAAAATTTTTATATATATAAGGTACCAAAAAAAAGAAAAAAAGAAAAAAGAAAAGAAGAAAAAAAAAAAGTTCTTTGATTTTTTTTTTTTTTATTTTTTTGGGAGGGGTGGGAAGAATCCTGTATCTCCCTTTTTTCTGTAACCAGCCTCTTGTTGGAGTCTCTGGTCAGCTTGAGGTCCTGTGGCTTGATTGGTTTCTTAAGTCAGTTTGTTCGAACAGGCAGAAAAATGCTCTGCTTTACCCAAGATTTTGAGATCCCCCTCCCAGGTTAGTTTAATGGGAGGGTGATCTGCTTTGAGAATCACAAAAGAGGGGTGATGAGGCTAGGTTCTGGTAGAGTTGAGGCCTTTCAACAAACAGTAGCTTTTCCCTGGGGCTATTTGTGAAAAATTCACAGAGCCCACCCTGGAGCCATTCTCAGGGTTTCTGTTTTTCAATTGATTGTGGAGGCTGCTAGAGGGAGGGGCAGCCTCTGGCTCTGGTTACCCAGTGAGGAAAGCCACTCCAATGGCTGGTGCCTGAGCTGGGTGACTTTTCCCTGGATGGAGCTGAGTCTGGCAGGTCACTTCGCCGTTAAGTTCTTGTGACCTGTTAAATGACTCGTTTTATTCCAAGGCCTGAGTTGGAGCTAGCAGCTCCTCCGAGCTTTGTCGGTATCCAAGATGGAGATCACCGGTGCTGGGGGGGGGGGAGGGGTGGCCTTCCCTCCTCTGCTCCCTGAGAAGGAGTGAGGACGTCGGGCTTCTACTCACGCCGAGCCTTGGATCCTGGGTCGTCTCTGGTCTGCAAACTGCAGGATGAAGATGTCCGCTCCTTGTCGGTTCTTGCTGGTGTTGAGTAGAATCCTCTCGCCCGCTGCGTCTGGCTCCTTCGTCCCGGACTCTCTGTGTGAGCGCTCAGGTATGGCCGCGGCTGCGGTCGCCGCTGCGACCCTGCCGCCGCCGCGGCGGCTGCTGGCAGGCGCTCAGATGTGTCTCCTTGTCTTGGCTTCCTCTCTCTTTTCTAACTCTCTGTCCTGTGATGGCTCACTTGGTGTGATTCTCTGGCTTAGGACTGTTCACTGGAACTCTAAAACTGCTTTCTATGAGAGACCTTGTTCAGATTCCAGCTTCTCCTCCGCCATCTTCCCGGAACCTCTCTATAGCATATTTTCTTAATCCATGCATTGGTTGATGGGTAACTAGGCTCATTCCATATAGTGCTGGTGTAACTATGGGTGTGAATAGTGCTGGTATAACTATGGGTGTTTAGTTATCCTTATTTTATGTTGAATTACATTTCTTTGGATATATGCCCAGAAGTGACAACATCATATGGTAGTTTGATTTTTAGTTTTTCAAGTAACCTTTATTCTGAACTCCATAGTGGCTAGACTAATTTGCATTCCTACCAACAGTATATTAAGAGTGCCCCTGCCATCCATATTCTTGCCAGCATTTGTTATTGTTTGTTTCCTTGATGATTGCTCTTCTGATTAGGGTGAAATGGAATTATATGGTCATTTCAATTTACATTTCCTTTATAGCTAAAGATGTTGAACATGTCTTCATGTATTTATTAGCCATTTGTACTTTTGAAAACTTTATTTGCCCATTTCTTAACTGGATTATTTCTTGACACTTACAATCCATTTTATGTTCAGTTTTGTATAAGTCAAACTAGTTTTGGAGCCAGGCACCAACAGCTCATGCCTGTAATTCTAGCTACTCAGGAGGCTGAAATTTGAGAATCATGGTTCAAAGCCAGCCCAGGTAGGAAAGTCTATAAGACTCTTATCTCCAATTAAGCACCCAAAAAGCTGGAAGCGGAGTTATGGCTCAAGTTGTAGAGTGTCAGCCTTGAGTGAAAAAGCTCAGGGACAGTGCCCAGGCCCTTAGTTCAAGCTACAGGATAAACACACACACACACACACACACACACACACACACACACACACACACACACACACACGCAACGCACGCACACACGCACGCATGCACCCAAGCACATACACACAAAACCACATTTTGGAGGGAAGGCTGATGAATTACCTACCTTAGAATTATCTATTTAAAAAAAGCTGTCTTTCCTTTTGAATGGAGTTTAAAGTTAATTGAGATATACTTATTTGAGTTTAGTTCTAGGTTCTCTATCCTATTCTCCTGATTATTTTTATTTTTTTTGAGACAGGTCCTCAGCCTGTAGCTTCAGCAAAGCCTGGAACTTACTATGCAGTTCAGAGTTGCCACAAACTCACATTCCTCCTACCTTGGCCCTACCAGTGCTGGGATTATAGGTATGCATCACCACACTTGTCTTTAAACAGTATAGTTGAAAATATCCTAAGTAAAAAATTCATTTAATACATATAAACTCCCAAATATCATAGTTTAGCAACATTTTATACTGCAAAGTACCAGTTGTGTAACTTTGGATTACAAGGGCTGACTAGAGCTGTAGGGCATTGCTGTTACCCAACATCCCAAGAGAACACTGTACCAGATATTGCTAGCTCAGGAAAAGATCAAAATCGATAGTATTTCTACTGAATGCTTACCAATTTCACACCACCATAAAGCTAAAAAATTAAGTTGAACTGTATTCAGTTGAAGACTGTCTGTGATTTCCTTTATTATGTGTTCATGTCTGTGGGGTTTGCAGTGATATTCTTTGCTTCATTCCAGGCTCTTTTTGTCCATCTCTCTGCAGTAAATTATTCATTTCTTTCTTGTTATGGATTTTTATAGGTTATACATAGCTTAGAATAGTTGAGACTTTCTTTCAAATGTTAAACATTGTGTTTCATAAATCACCTCTCAGCACTGCTTTAGCTATGTCTCATAAGTTTTGGTATGTTACATTTTCATATTTCAATTTAATTTCTCCTTGAAACTACTGTAAGATATACAAGTTATTCAGAACTAGCTTAGTTTCCAAATGTTCCTAGATTTTCCTGTTGTCCTTCTGTTATTAATTCTAGTTTGATTCTATTTGGGTCAGAGCAAACATTAGAAATAATTTTAATTTTTTTTGTCAGTCACGGGGCCTAAACTCTGGGCCTGGGCACTGTCCCTCAGCTCTTCAGCTCAAGGCTAGTGCTCTACCACTTGAGCCACAACACCATTTCCAGCCTTTTTTCTGCTTATGTATTGCTGAGGAATCACTCAGGGCCTCATGCATGCAAGGCCAAGCACTCTACCACAGAGCCACCTTCCCAGCCCAATTTTTTTGTCAGTTGTAACACTTATTTCTGGGCCTGAGCACTATCCCTGAGCTCTTCAACTCAAGGCAGTGCTCTACCACTTGAGCCAGAGCACCACTTTTGGTTTTCTGGTAGTTAATTGGAGATAAGAGTATAACAGACTTTCCTGCATGGGCTAGCCTCCTGAGTAGCTAGGATTATAGGTGTGAGCAACTGGTGTCCCACTAATTTTAATTTTTAAAAAGACTGGTGAGATATTAATGGCTTAGGACATGATCTTAGTGTATGTTCATGGTGCTTGAAAAATAATGTGGGGCAGATCTTGCTGAATGATTGTGCTTTTGAGTTCTTCTATGTTCTTGCTGCTTTTCTGTGTATTTTTTCTATCAATTGTTGAAAAAGGAGTGTTGATAACTCCACCTCTAATTATAAGGTTTCTTAGAACTTTTTTCAGTTCTCTGTTTACTTCACATATCTTACATCTCTGTTGCTTGATGCACAAACATCAATTGACCTTTTTAGCATACTAAGGTATTACGTGGCCAACTGAAGATAGGAGTCTCATGGACCAGAAGATTTATGTTCCTAGGCAGGCTCCAAACTGCCATCCTCAGATCTCAGCCTCTTAAGCAACTAGGATTACAGGAGTGAAGCCATGGGCACCTCGCCATCTATGGTTATTTTTGATAGTAAGAGAGATATTGTCTAAAATTTTCTTATCTTATTAGTCTGCCCCTTTTCTAGTTCTTTGGCTAGACAGAGCAATGTTTGTGAGTTTTGCTTTGGTGGCCTTGGAATCTCTAGAATCTCATTTCTTTAGCTTCACGTCTAAACTATCAGGCAATAAGAAAACCATGGTATTCATCATCATATTGTTCTTGTAGTTCCTGTGGACTTTATTTAATTTCCATTTTTCCTCTTTCTTTTATAGTAGTTTGTTTTATAATATCTGGGTGTTTTATTTTTACTTACTGGGGAAAACAAGGAAATTATAGGGATACATATATGTATATATTATAATCCTCTATAGCTGTTATTTATTTTTTGTGTATCAGTCCTGGGGTTTGAACTCAGGGATTTGGCACTGATGGCACTGTTCCTGAGCTTCTGTGATCAAGGCTAGTGTCCTACCACTTTGAAATACAGCCACTTCTGGCTTTTTAGTTGTTAATTGGAGCTAAGAGGCTCATGTACTTTTCTGCCTAGGCTGACCTGGAACTGCAATCCTTAGATCTCCCCCTGAGTAGACAGGGTTACAGATGTGAGTCACTGATATCTGGCTGTTTTTTATTTCTTAAAGGAAAAAATTCTAAGACTCACATTTTTCAAAATTGTAGAATTCAATAAAAAATTTAAAACAATGATGATAAGTAATAAATGAAAAAGCAGGCTACTGAATTTTGGTAAGAGAGTATTATAACATTAATCTCCCCATCATTTTCTACTCCTCAGTGAGTATAAAGTCCTGAGTTCAGACCTTAGTACTGACAAAATACAGCAAAACAAAATCATAAACAAAACAACTTACTGAATGTTGTAGGGTAGCACACTAGGATTGAGGACCCCATACATAGTTTTGCCTTTATATAGAGGGTTCCTGAAGTCTGCTTTCTTCTGAATCAAGAAAGGCCACACAGAATGTGTTTTATCAAGGACTCTGTTAAAAAAGAAAAATATGTCAGTAGTACTGCTGAACTTGATAATCAGCTATGTTTAACTAGTAATTAGCCCAACTCAAGAGAGGTGATAAAATATGATAGAAAATAGAAATGACTAATGAATGTTAGTAGAATAACAAAGTATTTGAGTTTTATTTTTATCCATGTTTAAAATAAATGAATTTAGAAAAAGTTCTCTATAGAGAGAAAGAGGTTCTAGTTTCAGTCTCTGCTCGCAAGTGGCTGTGTGATATTAGAAAACTTCTTAGCAATTTCCAAGCTAAGAAAGTACAATGTGAAGCCAGGTACCAGTGGCTCACACCTGTAATCCTAGCTACTCAGGAGGCTGAAAGCTGAGGATCACAGTTCAAAGCCACCTTGGGCAGAAAAGTCCGTGAGACTATTGTTGCCGATTAGCCACCAGGAAACTGGAAGTGGTGCTTGCTGTGGCTCAAGTGGTAGAGCACTAGCCTAGAGCTGAAGAGCTGAGTGACAGCGCCTAGGTCCAGAGTTCAAGCGCCACAACTTACCAAAAAAAGAAAGAAAGAAAGAAAGGAGGGAAGGAAGGAAGGAAGGAAGGAAGGAAGGAAGGAAGGAAGGAAGGAAGGAAGGAAGGAAGGAAGGAAGGAAGGAAGGAAGGAAGGAAGGAAGGAAGGAAAAGAAAGATGTGACCTGTTAACTTCTCTTCCAAATTTAGAATTCTATGAACTGATTATTTTTCCAGTCTTTAAAAAAAATTATGGAATTGTCTTTATGGAATATAGTGGCTTACACCTGTAATACTAGCTACTCAGGAGGTGGTGGTAGGAGGACTGCACTCTAAAACCAGTCCAGGCAAAAATAAAAGATGCTGGGCTGGGAAGGTGACTCAGTGGTAGAGTACTTGCCTTGCATGCATGAGATGCTGGGTTTGATTCCTCAGCACTACAGAAAAAGCTGGAAGTAGTGCTGTGGCTCAAGCAGTAGAGTGCTAGCCTTGAGCTGAAGAGCTGAGAGACAGTGCCCAGGCCCAGAGTTCAGGCCCCATGATGGACAAAAAAAAAAAAAGATCCTTTCTGAAAAATGAACTAAAAAGCAAAAGGACTTGGCATGTGACTTAAGTGGTAGTGAGCAGAGCCTTGTTCAATATCCCTAGTACTGCTAAAAAATAAACTCCACAAACCTCTGGTAAGTTAAGATATAAGGATCCTGCAGGGTAAATTTCCGGCAGTTCTGTTATTTCTTTTTATTTTAAGCCAGCTTCACCTTCCTTCTGAAGACAACAGCAATTTATATGAGGAGATAATCACGAATTATTTTAGGTAGGGAACCAAAGATTATAGTGTAAATATTGCAAAACTGCTTGCAACATTTTAGTTGATACTATGAAGAAACTGCTCAACCAGCATGTGGTTGATGTGGAAGAAAATGTGTAGATATATTGGTTGCCAATGAGGATTTGGGGAAACCAGGTGGGAAGGTCTTTTGTCAAAGAAAGTTAAAAGAGAATGGAAAGCAGAAATATAGTCCTAAAATTCTAGCCCTGTAACTTTTACAGAAAAGCAACATGTGCTGAATATTCAACTTTCTTATATACTGTTTAAAAATAGGAAAAAACCTCAGATGAAGTGACTAATATTTATTATTTATTATGTGTTAAACATTGCTCCAAACATTGCCCAAAATACTTCCTTAAATGTCCATAATAAAGTTCTATGATGGTGTTTTAGTTTCAAGCTACTAGGAAGAAAATAAGAAAACATTAACATGCTAAGGGTCACACATATAATAGATGACAGTCTAAGTCTGAATGTAGATCTGCCTGATTCTAAAGCCCCTGCTTTTCCTTTTATGAGTAAATGACATTTCTGCCATCTTAAGTAATTACCATTTTAAATGTTCAAATGTTTCTAAAATCATCTACAGAGATATTCAGATTTATGTGAGAAATGGATCCAGGGACATGAATCTCATTCTAAGAGGGTAAAATATTATAGAAAAAAATCTAGTGTTTTAATGCTTACTCAGACTGAATACATATAAAAGCATTTGGGGAGGGACTAACAAAAAATGACAGAAATGTATCTGATAGCAACCAGGTAAAAATGTTAAAGCAGAAAGATACATCACTATTGTCTGTGTTAACAAGAAAATGGAATCTCAGAAAGGTCATGTCATCTAGGCAATGTCATGACAGGGCTCAAGAACTTGAGCTAACTTCTAATATGAAACAGGGTTGTTTCAATTTTGCAGCTAGTTTCTTTTCTTTTTCTGGTCTAAAATAGGGAGATTACCATTTACAGTTGTTCTATCTTGTCAATCTCAAAAAGTATTTATGTTTTATTTATTTTAGGAATGTTCACTTAAATTAGGGGTGAAAATACAACCGAATTGCTTAAGGAACTGCGCAGAAAACTTTAGAAGTGGGCCAAAAAAGCCAAAGAGAGTAGCAAGTACTATGGCCAATAAGAGTTAGCTTGAGTCTTGTAATCCTAGCTTCTCAGGAAGCTGAGATCTAAGGACTGTGGTTCAAAGCCAACTCAGATAGACAAGTCCAAGAGACTCTTATCTCCGATCACCTAGCAAAAAGCTGGAACTAGAGAGCTATGGGTTAAGTGGTAAAGTGCCAGCCTTGAATAGAAAAAGCTAGAAAAGAGTAAGGCTCTGAGTTCAAGCCCCAGTAGTGACACAAAACTTTGTTGAGAGTTCTTCATCTTTCAGAATTTCTTGGTATACTGGATTATCTACTTCAGGAAACAATGCCTAAGTTAATTGGATTTTTATGTGAAATCCCTAATATTTAAATGCTTCTAACTGAATTCATAGTTTAGAATTCCACCCTGAGGCACACAGTGAAATCTGTCTCTAAAAGCAAAACAAAAACCCCACCAAATACAAAAAAATAAACCAATGCAGACTAACCAAACTGTGCCTGTAAGGCTAGGATAAGACTAAGGACTGCCAGTGTGCAATTTCTGATACAAGCAAAAAAGACTATAGACAATACAAAGTTCTTGCACATCCACCATTTCATTGGTTCCTCAAACATGGAGTGCTTTATACATTAAAAGTTCTTTTTGCCAGGTGCCAGTGGCTCACACCTGTAATCCTAGCTCCACAGGAGGCTGAGATCTGAGGATTGAAGTTCAAAGCCAGCCTGGGCAGAAAATTCCTGACACTCTTATCTCCAATAAAACCACCAGAAAACCAGAAGTGGCACTGTGGCTCAAGTAGTAGAGTGCTAGACTTGAGCTGAAAAGCTGAGGGACAGCGTCCAGGCCTGGAATTCAAGCCCCACAACCAACAAAAAAAGTTTTCATTATTACTTCCTCTCCTTTTCTGACTGGTATTCTAAATTCAGGGGTTGGCTTCATTCTTTTCCATGATCTTCCTTCTCCTTATTTGGTGTTTTCACACAAACTGATTTTTACCTTAAATCTTCTCGATCCTTTGGGCAGTTCCCAAGGAAATTTCCAAACTGGCAGGAAAAAATATGGTCATGGATCTCCAGCAAGAAATTTTCATTAAATTCAAAGGCACAAGGAAATTGTTCCATTAGCTGCCAAACACAGTCTAGGAACTGAGTGAAGATAGGGGACACTTCTTTAGGGTCCCCTTCCATGTGGCCACATCTACAAGAAACAGATAAAGATACTATTAGCATCAAGGATTACACTGAGCTGGGTGCTAGTGTCTCATGCTTGTAATCTTAGCTACTCAGAAGGCTGATATTTAGATGATCATGGTTCAAAGCCAGTCTGAACAGAAAAATATATGAGACTGCATCTCTTCAATAACTAGCAAAAAGCTCATCTGGAGGCATAGCTCAATGAATCATCAGTAGAGCAAACAAGCTAAATAAGCAAGCTGAGTTTAAAGGACTGAGTTAAAACCATAATACCAGAAACAGTAAGAAATTATTATTGTTGTTGTTACTACAACAACTACTACTACTACTACACTGTTTGGAATATGCTATAAAAGGTCACCTTCTCTCTCTGTTGGCTTTGGCAAAGAAATACCTCATGGTAAAAGGCCAGTCTAAATCTCCAATCTAGTTGATCTCAGGGGGCCTCTTAGCCAATGGCATCCTTCACTATTGTCTAGACTATAAGTCCTTTGATCATGTAGTCTATTTTCTCTTTCTTCCTTTGTCAGTTGTAGGGCTTGAACTCAAGCAGGCCTGGGCACTATCCTTGGACTTTATAACTCAAGGTTAGTGTTCTACCACTTTGAGCCACAATGCCACTTCTAGTTTTCTGGGGGTTAACTGGAGATAAGAATCTCAGAGACTTTCCTGCCTAGGTTGACCTCAAACCGCAATCCTCTGATTCTTCTATGTTGCTAGGATTACAGCTGTGAGCCACCAGCACCCAGCTATTTTCTTTTATGCTCTCTTTCCAGCAGAACTATAATATGGTAGTCACTAATGGTTGAGATGTGGACTATTGACTGAGGAACTGGATTTTTAGTTACATTTAATTACACTAATTTAAATGCAAACAGCCACCTTTAGCTTAATGTGAACAAGGACCCCATCCAAATTGCTTACTGCAAAGTACTTCACACAAAATAGGTATTTAAGAAAAAAGTATTAAATATATGAATAAAACTTCCTCAACAACGTCTCCTATATCAACCCTATAACCCATAGCAAATCTTATTCCTCTGGAAACAAACATAGCATTCCTATCCTCTGTGCTGAAGGTTCTCTACCTTCTAATATTTTTACCTTAATCACCAAAGATATGATGTCTTCTTGAAGCTCAAATTAAACTCAGAATGCTGGCTGGGAATATGGCTTAGTGGTAGAGTGCTTGATTAGCATGCACGAAACAGAAAAAGCTGGAAATGGTGCTGTGGCTCAAGTGGTAGAATGTTAACCTTAAACTCAGGGACAGTGCTCACACCCTGAGGTCAAGTCCCAGGACTGGCAAAAAAAGAAAAAGAAAAAAAAACACCCCGAAACAGAAAAAGCTGGAAATGGTGCTGTGGCTCAAGTGGTAGAATGTTAACCTTAAACTCAGGGACAGTGCTCACACCCTGAGGTCAAGTCCCAGGACTGGCAAAAAAAGAAAAAGAAAAAAAAACACCCCTGAAACCAGAGAATACTTATCATTCCACACTCCATATACCATAACCCTCAAGCAGAACAAAGGCAGGTTCTGCTGGTTTCCTTGCTAATATTACTGCTTCCAAACTACTACTCCTTTTACATTTTCCCAAAATTTCAACATAGGTCATGCTGTCTAGCTCAATGGTATCTTCTACCAACCTCTGAGTCACTTCTCCACATTCTCTGTAGACTTTGACCCTGGTCTTAAGCATTAATCTTTGTTGCTGGTTGATGACCTACACAGACTAAACTAAAAGCTTCCTTAGATAACTCAAATCCAATTATCTTCTCTGATCTTTACTTTTATTGCACTTAAGTCTCTGAATCCATTGCCATAGGCTGGTTCTTGAGCCTATTTGGAAGGTCTGTTCCTCCTTTGAAATTTGAATCCTAGTATCTCACTCTTAAAACTTCTCTCCCAGTTATCCCAGAACCTCTCTACTGGATAGGTTCCTAAGGGCTTTCCGTTCTTCTTTATCCATCCTTGACGACTTTATCATCTGTTCTGTCAATTATTCTCTCTCCATTTACTCAGTTTTCTGGCCTTTCTTATCATTATTCTCCTCTAAAACCCACAGATAAGCTGAAAATGTAAGGTCCACCCTGGGAAGGTGGAGCAGTACCTGTGTTACCTAGGTAACCAACACACTTGGAGGCAGTCACCACCACCCCCTCCCTGAGGTCACATCCACATAAGGTGTGGCCACACCTTCTTCCTTCCCTGGCCTTGATAAGTCTGGCCTGCCTGTGGTTATATCCTTTATTCCTCCTGTGACCAGAGGTGGCCTGCAAATAAACCTTTCCCTTGCCTTAATACCACGTACTACTGCTCTTTCCTCTGCTGCCAGTTTAATTTACCTAATAGAAAATACTATTTTCTGCTCCCACATCCTGACTTGTAAAAGATGTTTGAGAAAATTGCAGATTTTAAGTTAATTTCTTGAACCTTGTTTCTATTTCATATCTTCCTGTACGTAAGCTTCTATAGCTCATTATAAAAAATGGAGGACATCAAGTACAAAATTTCCAAATTATAACTCCTGCACTCACACAATTCATTTTCTGCCTTTTTTCCATCCAGTCTCAGGATGTGTTCATTAGTTATAGTTCCAGCTAATCTTTTCATTTGGACTTGAGCTTTCACTTTTTCTACCTCCTCAGAAGTCTTACTCGACCAAAAATTATGTGTGCTTCAAACCTTCATCTTCTCTAATACTTACTTCCTTTTTCTCAGCACAAGAGCATGCTTAAATTTCTTCTGTCTTGAAATACCCTTCTTAAAATTCACAACTCTATCTAGGTATCAGTCTCTCATTTACATCCTTTATAGTCATGATTCTAAGAAAAGACATTTATATACTCATATTCTACTTTCTTAGAAGAAAAAAAATGAGAGCCTTCAATGATCTCCTTAATGGACTCAGTTTCCTGGACTCATTTCATCTTTCTACCTATGTACTCTAAGGACCAGGCACAATGAATTGCTTTCAGTTCTTGAAGTACACCATCCTGTTTCATACATCTATGGTTTCATATACATCCATACTAGAATATTTTCCTCTTTTCTAAGTAATAATTATTCATATTATGAATATGAATTTAAGTTTTTTTAAAACTTAAATTGGACCTGTTCAAAGAAGACTTCTTTGCTCTAAAATGGATCAAGTTCCTTTGTTTATGATTTCCTCTATTTTAGCATTTATAATATGCTGTCACCACTGATTTCTTTTTCTTTACAAAGAAGGGATTAGAGTCCTTGACTCAATTCCGTCTCCTTAGTATCTGACAAATGGACAGGCCCAACATTGTGGATGAAGCAAGGAGTGGACTGAATCAAATAGCAAACAAAAATAAATGGATGCATATCAATTGGGGACCACTGTAACTTCCTTGAGAGTAAAACTCATTTGCCTTTGGGACTGGCTCAGTGTCTGATCTGGTATACAGCATATACTTAGGTACTTATTTGGCAAGTATTTATTGATCTGGTATCATAGCAAAGCCTTAGTGAGTGGCTTAGTTTAGATTATACAGTAGATAATGGTAGCTTTTACTCCAGCCCCTTACTAAAGAACAGAAATATATACCAGTCTTTTTCTTTTTTTGTGTGTGGCAGTACTGGGGTTTGAATGCAGGGCCTTGAACTCTTGCTGAGCTTTTTAGTTCAAGGCTGGCACTCTACCACTTGAGCCATACCTCTACTTCCAACTTCTTGATGATTAATTGGAGATAAGAGTCTCACAAAATTTGCTGCCTGGGCTAGGTTTGAACAATGATCCTCAGATCTCAGCCACCTAAGTAGCTAGTATTACAGGCATGAGCCACAGATGCCTAACATACATTCTAACAAAAACATTAAGTGGTACATTATCTTTTTTTTTGGGTACATTATCTTAGACTCTAATCCCACTGATTAAATATCCTTCTCCACCCACTGTTTTACCAAACTCTGTCATTTCTAATAATTCACCCTTAAATGCTACCTACTCTTGTAAACCTACCCTGACTTCTTCATAAAGATGAAAGGACTTTTCTCTTTGGGGTTTGTGATGACTTTTTTTCCCAAAATACTTAACAATTTGATAGAATCACCTGCATTCCTTCAAAATAGAGATGACATTCTAGTCACCTTTTCACCTTAGTGTCCTACAATACTTATTTCTTGATGAAAGAAATAAATTAAGGACTTGTTCAACTTCCTGATCTTCCTACACAAATACTTGGGTTTTTATCAACCCTACCTGTGAAATCTCAGCCCCCTCCTTTAAAATGATGGTACTTTTTACCTTTCAGAGAACTTGTGGCCCATAGATATCCATTCCTTTTCTATTAGGATCTTCATTTTTATATAAAAAAGAAAAGACTGCATTAGGAAAATCATTAAAGGAACTAACTATACATACAAACATATAAAAAACTTTGTTGAAAAGATTGAATAATAAAATAAATCTCCCCAGTGATAATTAAGTCAGATTTCAATAATGGGCCTGCATAGACTGTCTCCAAACTTCATAAGCTCTCAGGAGAAATTATTTTAGATTTGTATCAACTGTACTAAATGTAATTCTGATAAGCACAAGTTTAAATTCAACCTCTGGATAATAGGAATCCAAAAGTAGCATTTAAGTTAGTATCAATAAGACAACCATTTTCAACCATTAAAAAGAAAATCCCAAAGAAATGAAGCTAAAACACTATCATGAGACCTATTTCTTAGGAAGACTAAGAAGCCTTGAATGAATTCAGCACCAGAAAGAAATCTTGAGTCTGAAATTCACACAGACAACATGGTGAACATTATGAGGCCAACAAACAGCCTAGTTAACTGTCATCCATTCAACTTTTAGCCTTTTCCATCTCTTACTGTAGCCTATTACATAGAACTTACCTTCTGATAAATATACAAGAAGTATACAGACTGTACATGACTTGTTTAATAGTAGCTAAGTTGGAAAACAAAGCTATTTTATAGACTCAGAGCACATTCTTGTAAATTAACAAGTTGGTTGAGAGTTCTTTGAAATTTATTTACCATCTTTCACACACACAAAAGAAAGCAGAATCACTTGCTTACCATGAGTCCTTTGAATGTCCTATAAAATGGGTCTAGGATGATGCTTGCCACCGAACAAACTTGTGATGTCCGATCCCAACCATCAGAACAATGGACTAAGACACTGGCCTTTTCTTCCTCCACTGCCTGTGAAGAGAGGAGGCAAAAGGTATCATAAGCAACCTTTATATAGCATGTGGGGTTAATCAATAGTATTTCCCCATACTATCCCTATGGCACCAAGAACTTGGTCTAACTGTGCCACATTAATCACTTCCCATTTCTTCAGAAAACTCTATGGGGAATGAAAAGAAAATATTCGGGTGCAAGAAGAGAATTTACTAATAGGAAAATAAAATCAACCCATGCAGGACAAAAAAGAAAAAATAACAGAGGGGTCTAAATTCACAGAACTTCTGAAGAGAAAGCTCAGAGGAAGGCGTGGGTAAGAGAAGAAATACAACCTCAAAAACACAGGAGAGTTTTTCATTTCAATCCAAGACCTGAATATGATTTCCACTGGCCTTCTAGTCTTTTTATTCTGTCATGGGGCCTGAACTTACGACCTGAGCACTGACTTGAGCTCTTTTTGCTCAAGGCTAGTGCTCTACCACTTAGAGCCACAGAACCACTTCTGGTTTTCTGGTGGTTAATTGTAGATAAGAGTCTCATAGACTTTCCTGCCTGGGCTGGCTTTGTTTGAACTGTGATCCTCAGATCTCAGCCTCCTGAGTAACTAGGATTACAGATGTCCAGCACCATATAACCATCTAGTCTTATTAGTACAAACTCTTCCATCTGAAAAATTGATGAGATTGCTTGCCTCAGGCTGATTTCTATACAATCAGAATGATAGAAAGATCAAAACAATTATTCAGCTTGGTTAATTTGGGCAATTAGTATTGATCATATACTTATTCATTCTTTGGTGTGTGTGTGTGTGTGTGTGTGTGTGTGTGTGTGTCTGTCTGTCTGTCTGTCTGTCTGTGTGTCTGTGTGTATGTGCGTACCCACATGCCAGTACTAGGGCTTGAGCTCCAGGCTTCATACTCTGGCTTGGTTTTTCTGCTCAAGGTTGGCACTCTACCATTTAAGCCACAACTCCACTTAAAGCGTTTTGGTAGTTTGTTGGAGCTAAAGAGTCTCACGGACTTTCATGCCTGGACTGGCTTTGAACTGTAATCCTCAGATCTAAGCCTCCTAAGTAGCTAGGGTTACAGGCATAAGCTACAATCAGCAGGCGTATTCATTAAAAATTGTGTACCTCTATATGCCAGGCAGATACTATTTGCATCCCTAGATACAAAGATGAGAAACAATTTCTGCTTCTGAAGTAGATGCTTATGTACTGCTGCTACAAGTTAATGTATAGTAGATATATTCTTTTGTAAGGGCCAAGGAAACAATTTTTTTTCAATTTCTTCATCTTTATCTCTGAGGACTGTGATAATACATTCAGAAAGTACCCTCTGAGATCTGAATTAGGTTTCTACTGAGTAGCTGGGCTATCTTGAAGAATTTCCTTCCTTTCCTTTTTCTACATTTGTTGAATCATACCAGAATGGTAGGCATGGGGAATTTAAAGAACAACACACAATTCAATGAAAAATACAAGTAAACAAGTAAGTGGTAATTTGATAAGTGAATGAATGAAAATGTGTTCAAAATGTAGAAGAAATGGAGTTGGAGGTGTGGCTCAGGTGGAAGTGCCAGCCAATGAGTGAAAGTGTCAGACACCAAGTTCAAGTCCTAGTCTTGGACCAAAAAATGTAGAATAGAGGGAATAATTTGGGAAGTGTAAATCTTGATGACAGAGTAGGACTTCCTCAGGTAAAGAAAGCCAATTATTTAATTAATCAATTAACTTATTTGCCTCTTTAGCCAGTAATTACTGAGTGACTAGATGAGATACACTATAGCTATATTAGGAATACAAAGGAAACAAACATTTAAAACAAATACTGAACTGACAGCAAATAAGACAGTGGCATAAGAAAATCAAAGAGGAGAAAACAGTTCAAGTAGGTCTTGTCAGATGAGTAAGAACTTGCCAGATAAACAGGGAGGAAAGTATATTTCATCGGGGGGAAATGACAGCATATACACACGCAATAAGACACAGAACAGGCAGAAAACTCTTTAGTCACTTTGTAATGATTGAAACTGGGCTGAGGAGAAACAGCTGGTCAGGAAACCAAGGGTCCAGAGAACAAGTATTATTTTATCTTGTGGCAATAGGGAACTACTATGGTGCTGAAAGTACAGGAGTGCCAGGATCAGATGTTCATTTTTAAAAAGATCATTGTGAGCCAGGTGCCAGTGGCTCATGCTTGTGATCCTGGCTACTCAGGAGACTGAGATCTGAGGATCAAGGTTCAAAGCCAGACCAGGTAGAAAAGTCTATGAGATTCTTATCTTGGATTAATAACCAAAAAAAACTGGAAGTAGAGCTTTGACTCAAGTGCTAGAGTACCAGCCTTGGGTGAAAAAAGCTAAGGGGCGGTGCCCCAGCACCAGCATGCACACACATAAAGACCAAAAAAGAAAAGATCATTGTGGTGGCAGAAGACCAAAGAGATTCTCCATTCATGAAATTCCATGAATACCTAAAGTAAGAAAGCAGTAGGGGTCTGAAAAGGAGGGTAAATATAAAAATTGAACAGAACATAATGAGAAAATACATGGGAAGAGTCAAAGATAACTGAAATGTATAGTCAAGTAACTAGGTAAATGGTAGTATCATTACTCTAAAGAGTAAACATGGAAGTAGCAGCAGCAAGTTTTAGATAGAGTGCAGAAGACAACTAAGTAAGGGAAGGATGTTAGCTAGAGGATTGATGTGGCCACTAGCTCAATAGAAAAGGTAGTAGAAACTATGTGCACAGCTATTACTGTCCAGGTCAAATCAGAAGTGAGAAAAATTCCTAAAAAGTAGAGAATTTACAGGATACCGGTAGCTCATGCCTGTAATCCTAGCTACTAAGGAGGCTGAGATCTGAGGATCATAATTCAAAGCCAGCCCAGGCAGGAAAGTCCATGAGACTCTAATCTCCAATAAACCACCAGGAAACTGGAATTGGTGCTATGGCTTTAAGTAGTAGAGTGCTAGCCTTTAGCTGAAGAGCTGAGGGACAGCACCCAGGCCCAGAGTTCAAGCCTCACAGCCCCCCTCCCCCACACACAAAGTAGAGAACTTTAGAGTGGATGTGGATAGTAGCTCCTGCTTATAATTGCAACTATTTGAGAGGTGTAGGTAAAAGGATCAGTTTGAGGCCCTTCCAGACCAAAAAATTCATCAAGATTTTATCTCAATATACAAGTTGAATGTGGTGGCACACACTTATAATCCCAGCTAAATGGGAGGTAAGAGGATCATGATCCAAGGTTGAGCTGTGCAAAAAGTATAAGATCCTATCTAAAAAGACAAAAAGAATTAAAGCCACAGCTCAAGTGGTAGAATTTACTTAGCAAGCACAAGGCCCTGAAGTTCTATCTCCCAGTCACACACATTCTTTCTCTCTCTCTTGCTCTCTCTCTCTCTTGCTCTCTCTCTGTCTCTCTTTGTCTCTGTCTCTGTCTCTGTCTCTGTCTCTCTCTCTCTCTCTCTCTCTCTCTCACACACACACACACACACACGCACACTTTGAAAGGCAAACGGAGGAAGAGGGGATATTATAGGAGTCAACCTGTGTAGAAGCAGCCTGAAAGGTAGAAAGAGAGCCAGGAGGGAATGGTTGGATTAAAGACAGGTTCTATGAGTCATGAGTCAACAGTACCAAATGCAGCAGAAAAGGTCAAAATAAGAGGTTAAAAGTGATCCTTAACTGGGTGCTGTTGGCTCACACCTGTAATCCTAGCTACTCAGGAGGCTGAGATCTGGCAGGAACGTCCATGAGACCCTATCTCCAATTAACCACCAGAAAACTGGAAGTGGCACTGTGGCTCAAGTGGTAGAACACTCGCCTTGAGCTGCAGAGCTTGAGTTCAAGCCCCACAACAACCAAAAAAATTTTTTAAGTGATTCTTAAGAGTAATATGCACATACACAAACATATTAATTATGGTAGGTACAGGAGAGGATTCCAATGGTCTAACTTTTTTGAACAACTAACTTATAGCTTAACAAAATGAATACCAGAATGCTGGAACATGTATCATTAGAACGGTGAGGGCAAAGTGAAAGGGGTAGATGAATAGAGAGAAGAAAAGAATGTAATCATAATATGCAATATGTACATATATGAAAATGGAACCAGGTAACTTGAGGGAATGGGTGGGCCTGAAAGAGATGGAGAGAATAGTGGAAGGGATGACACTGCTCAAGATGCATTGTACTTATAAATCGACATTATTTTTGCCAGTCCTGAGGCTTGAATTCAGGGCCTGGGCACTGTTGCTGAACTTTTTCGCTCAAGGCTAGCACTCTACCACATGAGCTACAGTGCCACTTCTGGCTTTTCTGTTTATGTGGTACTGAGGAATCGAACCTAGGGCTTTATGCATGCTAGGCAAGCATTGTACCACTAAGCCACCTTCTCAGCCCTAAATCAACATTTTTAATTGAAACCCCATTGTACAGCTACTTAAAAATAATTTAAATAAATGAAGCTTTTAAAAGTGACACTTAGCTCTAACAAGTGAGAGGTTCTTAGTGGCCCCAGAAAGAGTAATAGTAGTGTTGTAAAAGTGGGGCCACAGAGGGGTGAAAAGTGAAGAAAGGTGAAATGTTAATGGTAAAGATTAAGTATGTGTGAAAAGGGTTTGAGAGGAAAGAGAATGCCATATTTCTATTCAGTTTAGTTTAGAAAGAGGATGCCTAGTTTAGATCTGAAGCATCCTCACAAAGGCCTGGGCCCTAGCCCATGACACTGTCAGGAGAGAAGGCCTAATAGAGGGAAGTCAGCACAGGACTGCTGTTGCAGGACGTATCAGAACTCTTGACTCCTGCGTGTTTTTCTCTCTCTGCTTCTTGCTCAGATATGCACAACTATCATCATGTGCAGCCTCACAAATCCAAAAGCAATGGGATAACAAACCATGGACTAAAACCATTAGAACTGTATCTCAGATATTTTGTTATAGCCAAAGAAAGCTGTCTAATAAAGAGAATAGAGTAAGAAAAATTCTGTCTTTTGAGATAAGAAAAA